GAAACTTTTTTCCCTTCCAAGAGGGAGGAGGCTGACATCTGGGTCTTAGTTGGCACATCAGAAGGATGGAATTCAGGAAGAGCTGTCCCCTTTCCACATAAGGCATGGACCTTGGGGTCTGGTCTGTTCTCCTTTTATGGTATCTCTCTGTTCTGTTTGCATGTCCTTATTTTTCCCTCCTCCAGCCTAACAGTATGTCATTAGTTCTGATGGCACTAGAGTCTGTGATTATTGCTTACTAGTGGTGTCTATATCTCTTAGCAGTTGTAAGAGATTCTTAATAGAAGGCATCATTTAGTGATCAAAAATTATTACCCCTATGTAATAGATGAAGATACAGAGGTTCAGAGATGCTGGAGTAAAGCTATATGGTAAAAGGCTAGAAATAACAATCAGGTCTTTGGACTCATAATTAGATAATGATTACACTAAGAAATGGAATTGCTAAAACAACCATAAACTTGAAAACTTTTACATCTTCACCTATTTCTTCACTTGGGTGCAATAGATTGTAGAGCATTGTTATTTGGCTATTTAACATATTAGGGCATATTTCCTCAACTTGACTGTAAATTCCTTGATATATAATAAGATATTTTTGAAAATAAAATGAGATAATGTATAAATAAGGTTTAGAACAGTTCCTGGCAAATAAAGTTTACTTCTACCACTATTACATCTTGTTAATTTTCTATTTAAAGGAAGCAACTTGTAGTTAAACATGCTGACTGGACACAGGTCAGTCTCTGCTCCTTATCCAAACCCCAGCCAATGTAAGTAAAGGATTTTACAGAGAAGACATAAACTGTCAAACATGAAGAGAATGAGGGAAGAGACAACAACCTATAAGAGATGTAAACAGAACTTCAGAAGCTAGAAAGCAGAAGGATGAATGCTAGATACCTTGTGTAAAGCAGTGAAAGCTGTACCCAAAACCAGCAAGGTGGGAGAATGAGTAGAAACAAATAAATTCCCTGCCCTAGAACCCTAGGAAGCTTTAGGTCTTTGAGACACCAGGTACCTCTTAAGTGAGGATTATGGGCGGGACTGACAGCAGGCAGATTTGTTAGAAACCTGTGGAAGAAGCATTTTGATGCCCAGATTACCTCCCCACATTAACAACCAGCAACTCTCAGAGCCCAACTCCCCAGAAGATGGAAGGTTTTCCTTTGGTGATGCTGAAGCAGAGAGACCCTGAGCTCAGAAGCCTCAGGCACAGTTTAAGATGAGTGTGCAGTACAAAACTGAAAATCAGGCTCTAAAAGAAAATCTGTGTACTTAAAATATCCTCCCAGCTCATTTCCTTGTTTGTCTCCCAGGACACTAACACCTAGGCTTATATCTCCCATCATTTCTTATTTCAATAATTTTTTTAAATTGAGTGTCTGTGTGCACTGAGCCGGGTGCTGTAAGTATATCAGGTTGCTAGGGTCACTGTAACAAAGTACCAAAAATGGTGGCTGTCTTGCTAATGGGTTTCAGCCTGGGCAAGTTCGCTATGGATTCAGTGTGACCAAAGAAATTGACCACAAAATGCTCTTTGGGGTGAAAGGGTCTTACAAAACTGCCGGCCCTCCACCTCTCTCTCCTGCTCCAGCAGCAACCACACCAGCCCTCCCCCTCACCTCTCAGGTACTGATAAGCCCTCTGTTGCCCACTTCTTTACACGTCTGAAAGCCTTTTGATATGCATATGTACCAAAGCCAGGGGAGATATTCTGGAAATATTACAATTTTATCCACAGTGGGTTAACCAACAGAAATATATTGTCACACAGCTCTGGAGCTTGGAAGTCCAAAATGAAGGTGTTGAAGGGTTTAGTTCTTTCTGAGGGCTGTGAGGGAAGGTTTGGTTTTGGGTCTCTCCCCTGATAGTCTTAGGCATTCCTTGACTTATAGATGACTGTCTTCTCCCTCACCTCTTCTCTCTATGCATGTCTGTTTGTCCATTTCACCCATTTTATAAGGATGCATCAGTTATATTGATGTAAGGTCTATCCTAATGACCTCATTTTAACTTGATGACTTTTATATAGACCCCTGTAACAAGGTCACCTTCAGAAATACTAAGAGTTAGAATCAACATATCTTTTCTATTTCTTTCTCTTGAGGGGGCACAAATCATAACAATAACTATATCCATGAATTAAACAAAAGCTTGCATGGAACCTAAATTCTAATGGTTAATTTAATTAAGAGTCACTTAAGATATTTTGAGCTCAGCCATGGAATGATTGGCAGAGACATTTCCTGAGATGGGAGAAGCAGACTGAGAAGAAATTAAGATTCTAGGGTTTTTAAAAAAGAATATTGAAGTATTTGGAGAACTTTTGTTTGTTAATCAGACAATTAGATACTTTAAAAATCTAATATATTAAATTTGTAATTGCAGTTAAGTTTTTAAAAACTTGGTCATTAAAATCCCCAAAGACCCATTAAAAATGATAGTTAAAAATTTGATAGATTAATAAATACAATAGTGAGCTATGTAAACTGAATTTCAATGTTTAAACAAGAGCTGTTAATTTACTTTTGTCATAACAGCCAATTTAATATTATGTTTCAAAAATACCAAGGTAGTTCTTGGCTGATCTTTCTGTATGGAAAAGGACATAAATATGTACATTAATAATATCAACTCTATTTTAGTGGAGTAGGGAAAACTCATGTCCGTATTTGGAAAGACCCTCACTGTAGCGTCTGCCTCTTGTGTGTCTGGCTCCTGCAGCTGCTTGGCCACTAGCAGCCACCATGGTGTGTCCTGTCTCACCTTGAAAGACTTTAAGAGCGGTACTGTCCAACACAGTAACCACTAGCCATGTGTGGCTGTTGTAACCAATAAAAATTAGCAAAATTAAACATTCTGTTCCTTAGACAAACTAGTCATATTTCAAGTGCTCAACAGCCACATTTGGTGAATAGCTGTTTTTAGACAGTATAGAAAGATTTCCATGATCACAGACAGGTCTATAGAACAGTGCTGTTTCAGAGTGTTCTCCAGTTCTTGCCAACTGTAATATAAATTCGAGCTGAAATAAGCAGGCGACGAGAGGCAACAAAGGGCCAGGCAGTTTATTTGAGTGCAATTCCTCGGCAAGGTTCACCAGTCTGAAACACAGGCTGGGGAAGTCGTGCCCAGGGAGGGGAGGTGGGGAGTTTTTAAGAGAACAGGGAAGGGAGGGGGAAGCGGGCCATGCTAGGGGTAGGTGGGGAATTTTTTATTGGCTCAGGGTCAGGTGATGGACAGCCAGAGGTCTCCTCCTTCCAGATGGAAGGGCTCTGCATCCGGGGTTTGTTCCAACGTCACGGGACTGGAATCCAGGAAGAGCTGTCTGTTCCTTCCTTATATGGCACAGAGCTATTTGGTGCTGTCTTTGTTCCGTTTACATTGTCCTCACTTACTCCCTCCAGTGCCTCCAGCATTACACCAACTTATCAGATTCCTGGAAATTTCTTAATTCATTTGATTTTGCTCAGAGAGATTCCAGTGGAGCCTTTTTCTGGAGGCATGAACTTCATGACATTTGGGACTCCAGGAGTGATCCTTTCCTCCTGTGGTCAGTTCCTGAGGCTGCAATAACAAAGTATCACAGACTGGGTCCAGAAATAAATCCTCACATTTACGGTCAGTTGATTTTTGACAAGAGTGCCAAAAAATTCAGTAATGAAAATGTAATTCTTTCAACAAATGGTGCTGGGACAACTGAATATCTACATTGTAAGGTAATAGAAAATATATATTGATTTCCGTCCCCAGTTCCTGGCAAAGAGCTCTTAAAACTTGCAATTTCCTGAGTGATAGGAGCATTTTTTGTTCTAATTAGGCCACTCTAGGTGGGCTCCTAAATGGCTGCTAGAAGGCGAATCCAGAAAAGGCAAGCCATGATTACAGGCTTGGAATTTTCAGCCCTGCCCATATTCTCTCCCTAAACCCCCAATCTCCCCACTTCTCCACACTTCTCAGAGAATGGAGGGCTGGAAATGGAGTTAATAACTGACCATGCCTGTTTGAGGGAGCATCCGTAAGATCCCAATAACAAGGGTTTCCAGTAGCTTCCAGGCTAGAAGCTCCTGAACTTGGGACCCTCCCATATCTCACCCTATGTATGTCTTCATTTGGTTGTATCCCATCTTCATCTGTATACCTTATGATATCATTTAATAAACTAGTCATGTGTTTCCCTGAGTTCTGTGAACAGCTCTTGCAAATTAATCAAACCTGAGGAGGTCATCGGAACCTTCAAACTATAGCCGGTGGATCGGAAGCGCAAGTGAGAACCTAGCTTGTGACTGGTGTCTGGAGGGGGAGTAGGGGGGTGTTCTTGTGGGACTGAGCTGGTGTTGGAGATTTGCTTATTGCTGTGGGAAAAATACCTCCACACATTTGGTGACTAGAAATGTCAGAGGTAAAGTTTTATGTTAACAGAGTTTAAAAATAAAAAACAAAAAACAGGGAAGAACTGGGTTTTTCCCTATATAAGAAAGAAAAGCTGAGTTTTTATCTTTACACACATGAAAAAGAATGAAGTTGGGCCTCTTCCTCATACCGTATCTAAAAATTAATGCAAAATGATCAAAGACATTGTGGGTAAAATTGTAACATTTCCAGAATATCTTGCCAGGCTTTAGTATATCTGCATATCAATAGGCGTTCACAGGTGGGAAGAAGCATGACTAGTGCATTTGATTCATTCTTCAGGGTGGAGAGAAGTTCATCTCCTTATCAATGGGTAAATTACCTGGGCAAAGAGTGGTTATCTCTATCTGAGAGGTGAGGTGAGGGCCGGTTTTGCTGCTGCTGGAGCAGGAGAGAGAAATGGGCCAGACTGCAGTTTTGTAAGCAATAAATGGGTTTTCAACTTTATTTCTCCCTTTGACTGATTTCGGTATTTAGAGGTATTTTGCCCCAGGATTTCCTCTCCACGGCCTAACACCCGGAAAAGGATCCCACTGACCAGGAAGTTTCACATGGGATCTCCGGAGCCTGGGCAATGGCTCCAGGGTGACTTCTCGGGCCTTCCGCTTTTCCCAGTCCTACTGAAGCGGCTGAAACGCGCGAGGACGCGCGGTCCAAGCCGGTGCAATGGGCCTGCAAGCCCTGCCCGCGCCTCTCCTGCTGATCTTCCTGCGGACCGTGGCTGCTCTGGGACCAGCGCCGCGTGAGTGCGGTGGCTGCGGGCGCGGCGGGGTTAGAAAACCGAAACTAGCTTTCTTAGCGATTGGAGCTGGCGAAGGTGGGAGGAACTGCTTGGCCCTTGCGCAGTCCCCTCCCCCAACTTTCCCGGAGGGGATGCAGGCCACCGGGGTGCAGATGGGATTAAGGGACCTCTGGCCCCAGGACCTTGTTCCCGCGGCCCCCGAACGGCACTCGAAAGCACCCACTTTCTGCGCCGACTGCCACGCTTTTAAATAAATCTTTCATTTCTCACTGAGGCCGAGCCAGGCTGAGGGCCCTTTGCCTCGGATCTCCGTGTTCCTGTTGCTGCTGTGGGCTGTGTTGTTTTTACCCCGGTCATTCCCAGACAAAAGCTCTCTCCTAGGGCGACCTTGGCAGGAGGGCCAGCCCGGCGTGTATACACCAGGGCTCCGCGAAGGCCGGGGGACATTTGGCGGAGCCTACGTCCCGCAGGACCGAGGCGGGGTTTTCCCCCGAAAACCAATCGCGCCGGCATCAGCGGGTGTGAAGGGGAACTGAATTCTACCCACCCTCGCGCCTTTTGATGCGTTGCGGGATGGAGAGAGATCAGCCCCTGTCCTTACTGACTCTTGGCGATTGTTCTTTTGCCTGTAAAAAGTGTTGTTTTTGAACTTTTTAATTGAACTTACACTTCTTTTCAGCAGGGGCTTCTTGATTTGCAATGTCGATAGTACTGTAAAATTAACAGGCCTTTACTAAAGAATGCCACCGTGATAATAATTAACATTTAAGTAATGAACTCCGTTTTAAATTACCTTCATATCTGTGATCTTTTTTGTACCGTCTATGCATTTGGGAGGTAGGAGCTATTCATAGGTGTTTTATTAGTCAACTGGTCTTTAGGTTAAATAACTTACCCAGGTTACCAAGGTTTTAGGCAACCTGGTTTTCTGATCAGTGAAATACTGCCATTGTTTCTAATCTTAGCTGAAGGTGAATATGCACTCATTAATGTCTAGCACAGCACTCAGCACTTTACATGTTAGCAAATAGCCTCACTTGGAGGATAGATAGTGTGTGTACCCACATTTTTATAGATAAAGAATGACACATCATCTGCTCGCTGGTAACTTTGTTCATTGTGACCCTGGGCTTTTAAGGCAGGGCCCAATTCTGCAGTTCATAGCTGCTATTCCAGAACATCAGAGCACAGTAGAGGTTGAATCATAAAATCTGATGTTGGACAGAATTAGAGGTCACAAGTGTAAAAGGATAGTCCAGGGGGTGGCAGGGAGCCAAGCCAATAACAAATATTCTGATGTTTTTGCATTCCAGTGGGGGATAACAAACCAACCAACCAAAGGCTGCAGAACATTAGGTAATAACTGGTGTGCTGAAGGCGAGTGAAGCAGGGAGGCCTGCGCAGGTCACTCCTTCAGGCTGGCATTTGAGCCGAGCCCTGAGGGAAATGGTGAAGCTGAATGGGCCTGCCAAGTTGAATTGAAGCAGGGTTTGCAACTTCAACACCTGTGACATTTTTTGTTATGGGGACTGTTGTGGGCATTATAGGGTGTCTACAGCATACCAGGCCTTTATCCACTGGATGTTAGCACTCCCCTACTTTTGACAACCAAAAACATCTCCAGACATTGCCACATGTCTCTAGAGAGACAAAATGTCCCAGTTAATAACCACAGGGTTAAGAGAAGAGCAAGGATACTGGTGCAGCAGCAGGAATATAGGGCCAGAGGCCAAGAACAGGTGGTGAATTCAGCAAAAGAGCCACATCAAGGCCTCTTAAGGACCTTGCAGCCTGAGATGGAGATTCTAGCCAAGGAGTGGCATGATCTGTTAAAACTTTTAAAAAGACTGCTCTGGCTGATCTGTGGAAAACAGAACGAAGGAAGTATTGATAAAAGAAGAACAGTCAGGAAGCTGTTGCACTAGTCCAGGCAAGACATGATAGACTGGGCTGGTGGGAGCAGAGGTAGTGGTGAGAAATGGTTGTATTCTGGATATCTTTTGAAGTTGTTGAAGGGTCTATGTGCTGTGGAGAGAGAGAGGAGTCAAAAGCAACTCTGATATTATTTCATTTTACTTTTATTTTATTGGCTTGAGCAATGGGGTGATAGGTGATGCCATTTCTGAGATATTGAAGGCAGAAGAAAGAGCAGTTTGGGGAAATCAAGAGCCTGGTTTGGGACTTGTTACGTTTTGAGATTCCAGTCAGTCATCCAACTGGTGGTGTCATGTAGGCAGTTGGTGTAAGAATCTAGACTTAAGGGCCAGAGATAAAAAATCTAGGAGTTGTCATCAATTTATTCATTCAACAAGTGTGTGTTAAGCATCTACTACATGTCAGGCACTGTTCTTGGTACTGGGGATACATCTTGAGAATGCTCTCATTCTGTAATTGAGGGAGGGTGTAGGGCAACTCTTGCTTGCATAGAGATCCTGCCCTTTTTAGCTCACTGGGGCTTCTATACTTGCTTTGAAGTTGTTTTGATGCTGAAAATTGCCCTGACCTATTTATCATCAGATCTTCAAAGTATTTGAGAGCAAACATTTACAGAGGAAAAGATACAGAGATAGAAGCAGTGAAAACCCCAAGAGCAAAATTCCCCTTGACTTGGATCTAATTAGCTCTGAGCACCAACTGTACAGCCCAACTGCCATAGCTAGAAACACATTGGGATTTTCTGGAGCCTGCTGGCTTCAGAGCCACACTGTCCTGACCGAGTACTGGGCAGAGGCTGGGGTTGGCCTGGGGGTAGCAGCCACATAGGCAGAGGGTGTACAAGGAGAGAGCAGACATATGGAGGGAAGGCAGGTACTGTGTCTCACTTCACAGGGTGGGCCCAGACACAGCTGGAGGTATGAGTTGATTCAGAAGGTGTGTCGAGCTGCAACCTCCCAATTCCCCCTGCGGCCCATGGAGAAGGCCTGTTGCCCTCTTCTCAGGGTCACACTCTCTGCACTACCTCTTCATGGGCGCCTCACAGCCGGACCTGGGGCTTCCCCTCTTCGAGGCCTTGGGCTACGTGGACGACCAGCTGTTTGTGTCCTACGATCACAAGAGTCGCAGAGCAGAGCCCCGAGGCCAATGGGACTGGGGTGGGGCCGCCAGCCCACTTTGGCTGCAGTTGAGTCAGAGCCTGAAAGGATGGGACCACATGTTCATCGTCGACTTCTGGACCATTATGGACAACCACAACCACAGCAAGGGTATGTGGAAAGGGGTCCTAACCTTCCTGAGGAGGGCAGAGCATTTTTGCACCTCAGGGATGCATCTTGAGGGAGAGAGCTGGGAGTTTGAGGTCTGGGGGCAGGGAGGAGGGAAGGAATCTGAGTTCATTCAATCCCTGAGGATGGTGGAGACAGGGGACCTACTCCTTTGGTTTCAGTAACAAAGCTGGGGGTGTTCCAGAGTCTCACACCCTGCAGGTGATCCTGGGTTGTGAAATGCAAGAGGACAACAGCACCGGTGGGTTCTGGAAGTATGGGTACGATGGGCAGAACCATCTCGAATTCTGCCCTGAGACACTGGACTGGAAAGCAGCAGAGCCCAGGGCATTGGCCACCAAGCTGGAATGGGAAGTGAACAAGATACGGGCCAAGCAGAACAGGGCCTACCTCCAGAAGGACTGCCCTGAGCACCTGCAGCAGTTGCTGGAGCTCGGGAGAGGGATTCTGGACCAGCAAGGTACGGTGCCCCCAAACCCTAGTGACAAAGTGATGGGGAATGCAGGGCACACATCCCTGGCTGGGGTGTCAGAGGGACAAGGTTGTGTGACCCTCTGGGAAGGAACTGAGGTCTGAGCTTTCCACCCTGAGGTCTGTACCTTATAACTGAAATGTTTGACATAGCCATGGGTCATGGTTTTCTTTTTTTTCTCCACCCATTTGGCCAAAGAAGAAGTACCTGTAGTGTTTTGATTTAACCAAGAACTCTGTATATATTTATACCTTTTAGGAATTCAAAGATGTCAATTATCACATGAATACCAAGGCAAGAAATTATCAAGGGAGGCAACCAATCAGAATAGAATTCTTTGAAGCTTAAAGCTTTCTTTCATAGACATAGCAATAGTCACTGAAGGCTGGCTATCTTAAAAGAATACTTTCACCAGGTTGAACCAGGTGAAATTGCTGACTGTGTATTCAGCAATTTTTGATCCACATAAAGAGCCATTTCATCTGACTCAAGTATAATAACAAAGCACAGAAGACATGGAGACAGGTTGGTGCATTTAGGAGACAGGTAGGAGAACAGGCTGATATGAATGTGACTGTTCTCCATGTGACATCAGAGCTGAATCTTAGAACTTGTTTTAGGACACAGAATGGTGTCTTTTCTACAGCTTGCTTTGTCTAAACAGGCTATTTCCTTCCTCTAACCTACAGAGGAAGGAAAGTGAAAGTTCTGGTCTTCCTGGCAAGGGTAGAAAGATTCCCTCTCTAGATCCTTCCTCCTTCCTGTCCAGTGCCTCCTTTGGTGAAGGTGACTCATCACATGGCCTCTGCAGTGACCACTCTCCGGTGTCAGGCTCTGAACTTCTACCCGCCAAACATCACCATGAGGTGGCTGAAGGACAGGCAGCCATTGGATGCCAAGGACATCGAGCATAAGGACATGCTGCCCAATGGGGATGGGACCTACCAGAGCTGGATGGCTTTGGCTGTGCCCCCTGGGGAAGAGCACAGATATACCTGCCTGGTGGAGCACCCAGGCCTGGATCAGCCCCGCACTATTATGTGGGGTATGGATGAGAGCTGAGCAAATCTGTTGTGGGCAGAAAGATCAACATGGCAGTGAGGGAAGGGTGTGCTCTGGGCTGGGGTGACAGTCGCAGGCTCTGACTTGCTTTTGCTGTTGTAGAGCCCTCACCATCTGGCACCCTCGTCATTGGAGTCATCAGTGGGATTGCTGTTTGTTTCATCATCTTCCTTATTGGAATTCTGCTCAGAATCTTTAGGAAACGGCAGGCTTCGAGTGAGTAGGAAAAAGGAGGAATTCTCAATACCTCTGCTCTCAGGACACACTAATTCCTCTGCAGGAAGGGAAGCAGAGGGAGGGGAAAGGGGATTTGGCATCCCTGAGAAGCCTTTTCTCCTTTTCTTTGGGAACAATGGCACCTTGCTGGAAGCAGGAATTAATGGTTTTCCTCAGAATGAAATCTACTAACTCAACAAACATCTTTTGAGCACCTATTATTTTGCAAGGTGCTATTTAAGGTAGTACAGGGGCTTTGGGGTTCAGTAATTTACTGTTGTTATTCTCAGAATCAAAATATAGCAGAGAATGAAATCTTTAACACAAGTAAATGCAGTTGAAGAGGAGTCCGTATGCTCCTAAGGCAGACATGAAGAAAACTCTTTGGGTTTCCTAAGGAAGGCATTCTGCTGGGGATCAAGAATGAGTTCTGGATCTTGAGGAAGTAAGATTTCATTAGGTAAGGCTGAGGATGAGGGGAGGTCTACACAGATAGAACAGCCATGCAAATAGAATATGAAACATGCTGGGAGGTGAGATTATTACTGTGTCTCATCCTTGGCCTTGCATACCTGTCAGTCACCAATTCTGCATTTCTGCCTTCTGAACATCTGTGATTTGGGGAAAAGGGACAGACTGGAGCCCACTGATGCAGAGCTCTGGGGACTTTGTGACGATGTAACTAACATGAGTGCTCGGGAGTCAATGCAAGAACATGAGCAAGGAGGGGCACAGTCCCTGTGGCATGGAGGTGGGATGAGAGGCAAGGAGACCAGTTAGAAAACTATTATGCAATTCCAGACAAAAGTTAATGGTGCCTGAAATCCAGCAGTTCCTTAGGAAGGGAATGGTCAGAGTTGAGATGAATGTATGAGGAAGGTGAGACGCAGGGAGGAGGCAAAATGGTATCTCAGTCTGTGATGCTTCTTTCCTGGGTCTCTTATCTTTACAGGAGGAGCCACAGGGGACTACGTTTTAGCTGAATGTGAATGAAGTGCAGCCTGCAGACCTCTTGTGGAGAGGAGACCTAATTAGGGATCAGTGAGGGGGTGCACTTGTGGCCTTCTTCATGTTTCGAAACAGAGTTGGACCTAATAAATAGGAACTGTAAGAGGAACTCTGCTCTCAGCCTTCCCTGTTCACTCTCAAAAACTGTCTGCCATGTAGGTTTTTGAGTTCCTGCATGCTAGTGAACAGCTGTGACCTCTCCCCACTGGAACTGGTTCATGAATCTCAAGCTGCACCTAGAGCCTACCGTCATTTCCTGCACCAGTTCAGACTCCAGACACCTGTCATCTCATCTCCTACCTCTGGAATATGGCTCTTTAAATTTGGGGAACTCATGATTTTTTTCAATGTCTGAGAAAAGCTATAAATCTTCTCCTCAGGATATATATTCTCATATCCCCACTGGAATGGCCTACACATATAGGCATTTCCTGGATCCATTCAAGTTTCCTTTTAATCCCCTCTCTGTAATCCAATAATTCATCCGTCACAAAACCCTGTGTTCTCTTCCACCAGAGTGTGATCTGGGTCATTGTACAGCTTTGAAGGCTGTGCACTGCACAAACCAAGGAGGTACCTTTCCCAGAAGAGGCATCATGGGTGATTGTGTGTATTATGATAGTTTTCCTGAGAGTGGACTGGAAATGTCTTGAGGAGTGTCTTTTTTAAAATTTGCATAAAGGTGTCATATAGTTTCCTCAGATTAATGATTCCTGCATTTACAGTGCCTCTCTGGTATGCCAGACTGAAGTAGTGTAGTAATTTTCTACTTGGTCTCTGCTGACCCTCACTACCTTGTTCTGATAAAAATGATAGTAAGAGTGATGGTGATGGCAATAAAGTGGCTTAAAAAGAAAAGCACTTGTTGCCAGACTTAGTTCTGAGCACCTTCTTAAATTCATTATCTCATGTAATTCTTACAATAATTCTTTGACATAAACATTATTAACCTCTTTTTTTTTGATGAAAATGAAGTAGAGAGTATCTTACAGCTTGGCAGGAATAGAGACAGTTTTCAAACTGAGTGAGTCTATCTCTGATCCATCTCACACACTACTGATTTCAGGGTCTAGATGTGTGGAGTTAAATGGAGGAGATGGCTCTGGAGATGGTGCTTCTAATCTCGTTGCCTTTATTGTCAGTGAGCTTGAACCAAATGAAGGGAAAACAGCCAAAAATCTCAGCCATTGCTTCCTCTCCAACCCTGGAGTGTGACTCCCTTACGCCTCTTACCTACACCATGTTGGAGGACCAGTCCACTCTGCCTGGCGCCTGTCTCTCTTGGGCTCTGAGGCCAAGGTGTGCGGGATGGTGTCAATTAGTGGCTGTGTTGGGCCTGACGGTGCTTCTGGAGTCAGAACAGTCGTGGCATTTCCCTCCATGAACTGGGATGACCTCATATATTAAAGGAGCTAAAATGGAAGTCACCATGTTGCCTGAAGGGTATGCCAGCATCTCCCCTCGAGCCTGGTTTTTATCCCCAGCTGTGTACATTATAAAAAAATTAACCAGATCATTCAGGAATTACTAGATTCTGAGGAAGTAATTCATCTGTAATATTCAAAAGAATGCTAAAATAAACACTGATATACACCCAGGTAGCATGCGTTTGCACTGCTACATACATTTGGCTATATAACTGGAATGAGGCATTCTGTGTTGGAGGACAGGTACCCAAAGAAAGCAAATAAAGCTCAAAAGTTTGTATGGTAGACATTGAATTTGGGCAAAGAGATCTCAAGTATTTAAAAAATTTTTTTCCTGGTTATGAAAGTTAAATGGATAATAGTACATGTTATTTATGCTTTTATGGGAAAGTTGAAATGAATTAAATAGAACTATGATTCCATGAGCTAGTGATAACCTATTTGTGTTATCACAAATATACTTCTCAGTATTATTGCTTCATTAAAATATTTAAAATCAACAAATACATCAATTTCTAAAAATATAAAATTAATTGTGTTGTGTACTGCATGATCTTTATATACTGCCCATCTTACGTATTTAATGGTATTATGTGTCAATACCATTTTGGGGGACATTTATACTGCTAATTTTTTTACATTTTGTTTCATGGAATAGTTCCTTTTAATTATGGTAGCTGAATTAATTGTTTTTCCTTGCTGTAGGAACAATGTCATTTAAGTTGCAACACATTGGTCATTTTACTCCAAACCATGCTGAAAACACGCTGATAAATTCTTTCTTTATAAATATCCTGTACTCAAAGCAGGCTGCCAAAAAGCTTCCCTTGTTCTACTCGTTAAGGACGTTTACAATTAGTTAGGCAATGGTTTGCTTTTTATTGGTTGTATTTCACACAGGCTGAGATTTCAAGAAACACCCTAGTCTTACACAGTGACACATTTACTAACCAACCATTGGCAACTGTGCCCTGTTAATCTTTGTTTTTAAATGGAAATTATAAATCTCTCTTTTCTTTCAGTGTTTCTTAGCTTAATTTTTCTGGCCTTGTTAATCCATTCTTAAGGTCAACTGTTTATGAAAAATCAAAGACCTACTTTTAAACTCATTTTTCCTCTGGCAAAAGCCACATACCAAGTGCGGTAGTGTGGAGAAGGGTGACATCTGGTGGCCATAGTCAAAGTATGGGGTTCGGGGTTTTTCCTGCCAGAAGAGGTGGATAGACAAAATGTCGGACATGGAGATCACTTGCTGAGAAAAACTCCTTGAATATTTGAGGAAATAAGTTATTCACCAGCTATTTGAATTGCTGGAATCACGGAGCACTGTTGAGTTACCTGAGCTGGGTAGAAAAAAGAAGGAAAAACCAACCTGGTAATCTTTGAAACAATGTGCAGCAGTTGGTTGAGGCCTAACAGGATATACAGGCAAATTTTCCTTTTATATTATAATAATATAATCTTACAGTGCCGTGTCTGTTTGATGTATTACAAAACAAGTACGCGCACACACATACACTTAAAAACAACACCATCTCTGTCATACTGGAAGGTTCTTATAAGCTACCGTTTTTAAGCTACAGTTTTTTTCTAATCCCACTAATTTAATAATGACTAGAATTTAAAAATATATGACTTTAAACATTAATGATTTTCATATGTGTGGACAGGTGTTTGAAATTTTGATTTCTTTCTGTAGACTTTGGGTCACCTTTTTTAATTTTCTCTTTTTAGCCAGTGATGAACATGTAGAGTATTAATATAATATTAAATATTTTTGTGTAACAATTTTATTAGAAAGCCTTGACATCCTGCATGCATGTATTACTCAGCATGGCATGCATGCTGGTTTCTCACATGTTCTATTTCTGAGTAATTATTTAAGGTCTTTATTTATCCATGTGAGGGATATATTTGGTATGTTTTAAGCAGATGCTTCTATTTCTTGGCTGGATGAATTTGCATTCATAGTAAAGCCTTCCATGGCCTGAATATTTTCTAAGACTATTTCTCTTTTCAGCTATTAATTATTAAATACTAGATATCAGACCCTGTTCTGAATTTTAACTTAATTCCTTTGATGAGGTAGGAACTATTGTTCTGTGACTCTTATTTTGCTGTACGGAAATGAAGGAATAGAAAGGTTAGTTACTTTTTGAAGGTTACATAGTTAGAGAATGGTTGTGCTAGATTTTTATTCTAGCTAGTCTGACTCCAAGTCAAGCTCATTACCACTACACAATATTTAAAATTGATTCAAGAAAACGTGGTGTGGCATTGTCAACATTTTTTGAGATATTTCTTTAATTATCCATTCTACTGCCTGGTGGCAGCCCCTGGGATGTTTCCTGCAGTGAGGAAGAAAACTTTAAACATTTTCTTTGGGTGTGTTTTTTAAATTTATTTATTTTTTTCTGTTCATACACAAGTTTTATGGGATTGGTAGCCTTGAAGACCCTGTGAATCATTTCATTCACCAGTTTTGAGTGAAAAGTGCTGCTATTTTTAAAAAATCAAATAATGGATTTTGATCCAAAGGTTCTATAGAAGAATTTTGGAGTCTTCAGTGTACCTTTGTGGGGGTGAAAGTTAGGGTAAGTACCAATATTTGTATAATCTTCAGTGTAAATCTTGTCAGTTAACCTTACTCCATGAGTTGATTAAGTATCCTGGATTTTACTCCTTAAACAGAGTTACCACAATGGCATTTTTATAAAACTGTCAAAAGAGCTTGGCTATGTGTGGGAGAGAGCACATCAGTTTTAAAAATGGATATAAGTCAATGGTCTTTCCTTTGTGTATGTTTGGGTTCACAGTTTCACCATTAAAAAAGTGCAAAATACTTTCTTAGTACTTTTTGCGTGTGATTAAGAAAGTATTCAAGGGAATTTTGAAAATGAAATTTAATTAGACATATTTAAGAATTTCTGAAAAAGACAAAAATATAAGAAAGGGTAATGCTAGAAATTCCCTATCCAAATAATTTTTCTTCAGGTCAAAACATTAAGAATGCTTATGGGAGAAAGCTTACACAAGGACAGTAGACCTAGGAGTGCAAGTGACAGTAACTTTTAGCAAGAGTCTGGAATGAAGAAAACAAGCAGGAACATTTTCCTAGAAGGGTAAGGGGAAGAAGTAAGGAAAATAAGGGAGACATAGTATATGTTATGGAACCAAAGACATGGTAGTGTGAATTACAGTTTAATTCAGGGAAAGAAAGAAAATGGGTATTTATAACAGGGTAAAGGTTAGGTGGCTGAAAAGAAAAATGCATTGAAACTTTAGATGAGAGAAAGACCGATAAATCAACCAGTAGCTAGAGGAGCTATCTTCTCCAGACCAGGAATGATGTCCCTGAATGGCTGGAGAGTACTACTGTAATGTTATAAAGCCCCTGCACACTAAGTTGCATGAGACCGAACTTACAAATTTCCACAACTGTAATACAGATAAAATATTTTGACACTGGGGTTTCTTTTCACTAAAGTACAATTGCATAGTTAAAAGCGACAGTATAAGGCGGTAGTTCTCAGCCTCAGCTGTTACCAGAATTGTTTACTATATGCATTATATATATATATATATTATACACACACACACACATTTCTCATTTACATATATACATACCGTATATGTATATATACTAAATTCTGATACTGATATTAGTCTATGGATGATGATTCTGGCATTGTATATTTTCATAAAACCTGATTAACATCATAGGCTTATTTGTTCAGATGTCTCATGTACCCATTAGCCACAAGTTACTGCAGGGATTTTTATCTTAAGGCCTAACTCATGTGTTGAATGAATGTGGTTCTGAAAAGCCAGGTTCTCTGAGGGTGAGAGAAAGGTGTAGAAGAAAACTAGGAAGTCATACAAGTTCCACAGTAAGCCATCCCTCTCCTAAACCCCAGTCCATGGTCAAGTAATGTTATTGGCTAGAACGCTGTTTATATTCCAAGATGTTTCAAAAGCAGTGAAGAAGTCGGCAAACAAAAGTCCACAGCAAACAAAAGAGCTCTTTTAATTAGAAAAAAGGGAAAGCTTCTACTACTTAGAAGAGACTCCAAGGGACGGTGCTCTGTAGGTGCTGGTGGCTGGGGAGTTTATATTTCCTCCTGAGAGGAGGAAGTGCCACCCCTTCCCTCTTTAGGAAAAGCCATCTCTGATTTGCATAGGCACAACCAGTCAGAGCCCTGAGGTCTATTAAGTGGCAGAGTTGGATTGGGGTTTTATTTTTTGAAACACCCAAGGATTCTGAACTTCATTTGCCTGCCTCCCTTAGCCCTCCAGTTTAAATGAAGAGGGCACCTGCTAGGATGTGCTCCACACTATATATTTTTGCACGACATTGCCATATTGTATAAACTCTTACTTATTTTCATGAATTAAGAAGCACATTGAGATGTCATCTTTACTTACGACTTTAGACCTTGCACTTTTCCTCTGTAGTGTTTGACATTTCTTCCTCGCTAAATCTCTTAAAAGGTGTGTGTTTGTGGTGGGGATAATGAAAGTTAGGAATCTAAAACTCTCAGTTTGGGTCAGAAGACTAACCACTCAGTTATTTCAGAACTGTCACAAATCATATTCCACAAGAGATTTCCTGCCCTCTCCTGGGTCTCTTTCTTTTCATCTGAGGAATTCTGATGTAATTTGTGGTCTCTGTCGGACCATTGTCCCATTCTAATTATTCAGTTAACCAGGATGGAGTGAGGGCGTGTTTTGCTTTGTTTTGTTTTTCCCTGTAACTAGTGACTTATCGTGGAAATATCCACAACCTGCAGCCGGAAGCTAGGAAGAAATTTTGAGAAATCCCTCTCTTCAAACCACTTTCGAAGCCAATTATGTTCTATTCTGCCTTTTAAAAAAAATGGGATTAGTTTTGTTCAAAACACCAATAACCTCATCAAACGCCTCCCAGGGGAAGGCCCTGTAGGCTGTGTAATGACCTTAATAAAGTATTACTCCTACACCATAGTTAATCCCCAACTCTACCAAACCTATGTTCTTGTCTCAAATTTGAGAAGGTTCAAAAGGGATTAATAAAGGAGCGGCAAGGAAGCATGTTAGGAACTGCAGGCAGATCACGCAAGGCTCAGCAGGCCAGGAAGAGGCTTCAGGAACAATTGATTATCCAAGTTTAGCTTTTTGTTCCGACTTTCTCACAAACTTTTGCAGAAAAGTCACCCAATAAGTGAATGAGATAGAGAAGAAAAGGCAGTTTCAATTTGCAATTGTTTGTTAACCTTATTGCCTTTCCAAAACACACGGGAGAATGTTTAGGGTCAAAGTTTCTTCATGGCCAGGCTTATATTTTGCCCAGCACAGAGAAAGGCGTCAAAATGTGTCGTAAAATAGGACTTTTAAAAAGATTGAGAGGGAAAAGTCCATTGTTCTATAACTCTAACCTCCTTTACACATTCTATCGACATCTTCCAAGGAAGTATTATATCAGTTACCAGTTTTACTACGAGAAATAAAAAGAACGTGGAGTGGAGCTCTTTCTCCTGAGTCTTTAAACTGATAAGAATCCGTTCAATTTGCAAATGTGCACAATAATGCGAGACAAAAGAGAAACTAAGGCTTTTCAGCGGAATAAGATCAGTCTCCCCTTCCGGCACGACCGAGATTTCATAGACCAATCAAAACAATGAAATGTTAATGATTATTTTTGCTCCACCCACTTTATGACGTTAGAGAGGCACCAGAGCATCTTGCTTTCGATCAGGTCCGCGAGAATGCTATTTAAAGGGCTGAGGAAGCCGGGGGGTCGGCAAACCAGTAGTAGCCATGTCTGGTCGTGGAAAAGGAGGAAAGGGTCTAGGAAAAGGGGGCGCTAAGCGCCATCGTAAGGTTTTAAGAGATAATATTCAAGGTATTACCAAACCGGCAATCCGGCGTTTGGCTCGCCGCGGTGGGGTCAAGAGAATCTCCGGCCTCATCTACGAGGAGACTCGTGGGGTGCTTAAGGTGTTCCTGGAGAACGTGATCCGGGACGCCGTCACCTACACCGAGCACGCCAAGCGCAAAACGGTTACGGCCATGGATGTCGTCTACGCTCTCAAGCGCCAAGGACGCACTCTCTATGGCTTCGGTGGTTGAGAACAAAATACCATATTTCCAAATTCCGAAGAAAACAAAGGCCCTTTTAAGGGCCGCCCACAAAGCCATTCAAAGGACTGGTAACACGTCATACGCTGAGTATGAAAGCAGTTTACATACTGTTGGTAAGGTAAAGTGCACATATGCCGGAATGCTGGATAAGCCAATGTCGATGCGCTTTAAGTTTTGCGTAAAGCGAGATAGCAATAGCAACGGGTACTGTAAATTGGAATATTTCTGTTTGGACAGCTTTGCGAAAGCTTCAGACCACTACGGAAAAATTACGTGGTTCACATGTACTAAATGCTCCACACAGCTATGTAAATTAGGGCTTTTAGGTGTCAAGTTCTCATTGGATAACCGCGGTACAAGGTGACGCCAACTGAAGTTGTGGTGGGTGAGGTTCCACGGGCTTTTCCTATTGGCTCAAAGGATTAGTGTAAATTCCCGAAACGAGGAAAAACTGGTTGATTTATTTTAACTTGTTGCGTGCCAGTCGTTGAAAGGCGTGAGGAGCAAAGGCTCATCGGTGATGTCTCAGCCCTTCGAGGTGTTGTCACGTTACTGGGAGATCGTCTGGGGTCAGTGACACCAGTCTCATCCTTTCCCTCTGACGGTGTGGGGTGAATCCACTACCAGGCACAACAAAGAATTTTCTGCCTCGTCGGACTAGTGAAACATTACTGTGCTTACCGCAACTCAAGCCTCAAACAATGGCCACATTCCTATACGACGCAGGCTGTGGCTGATTATAGAAATTGGAAACATTGTTTAGCTGTTTTCCATTATTCGATACAATTTTTTTTCCCAGCGGCCCAATTATACAAGCTCAAAGTTTGGGTCCTGCTGAGTCATCTGTAGAGAGCATGTTTGTCTGTGAAGGAATGTACATTATTGAATTGGAGTCACCCCAAATACCAATATACAGAATAAGATTAATAGTACGAATTTAATATTACAGTGACCTTTACATAAAAATTATAAATCATTGTGAAAAATGAGATTGAAGATGCTTTTGTTTGAACCCTGAGTAATTCCTAATGTAAGGAGTTTCTGTGATTTAGAAAAGTTCAGTTAAGACCTTAACTGTGAGGCCTTCAACATTTTACATAAACTTTTTAGGATTAACATTTTTCAGCCTGTGGAGTGTAATCAGAGCAAAGTTACACAACAAATACAATTACAGTTGCATGATAGTATCAAATTTTCAACTTGACAACATGTGCTTAATATAGAAACATCTAGTAATTACGGTAGTTTGGTAATGAGGATCAATCTGCAACTGTAAAAGCATTTCTCAATTTAAGTACCCTCATAATGGAAAGGAATCAGTTAAAATACTAAAAAAGGTAAAAAATTGCCTCCTGTGGGTAAAATTGTAACGTTTCCAGAATATCTCGCCTGACTTTAGTACATCTGCATACCAATAGGTGTTCAGTGGCGGACAGAGGTTTGTTTTAGTGCATTTACATACCCTCAGGTGTGGAGAGAAGTTCATCTCCGCATCAGTGGGTAATTATCTGGGCAACCGAGGGCATGTCTGAACCTGAGAGGTAAGGGGAGGGGGCTGGCGGGCCAGCTTGCTGGCTTCTTCCAGAGCAGAGGAGAAAGACGGCCTGGGACTGCAGTTTGTGAGCAATAAATGGGTTTTAAACTTTATTTCTCCCTTTGACTTCGGTTTTTAGAGGTATTTGCCCTGGGATTTCCTCTACCCGGACTTACACCTGGCGCAGCGAGCAGGTGTAATCTGTTGTAATGGGTGCGACCTTTGGGAGGGCCGCCCCAAGAAAAGATGGGGAGAAGTGGCGCTCACGCCGAGGGACATATGTCTACACTTGTGTAGTCATGGAGGCGCCACCACCGCTGCTGGCTGCGCCTACCCCGGCCTGTGGGCTAATGCTTCTGCCACTGCTGCTGCTTCTGCTGCCAGCCGGAGTCTGCTCACAACTATGGAAAGGAGCAGAGGTCCGGGTCACCTTGATAAAGAAGTAACTGGCTGTTGTGTACTACAGCTTTCTGGCTACGGAGCCCATCGCTGGAACAGCTCCAACCAAGCTAATAACCACCTATCCCATCATGGGGTGGGTGCGAGACTGGACCCAAAGGCCACGGAGTGCTGTGGCACAGACACCTACTGTATATCATGTGACTGGCTGTTTGCCTTTGGTATCCCCAGGGAATAATGAAGCAGACGCATTGGCCCAGGTGCACTGGGCTTAGAAGGAAAGTCTGTTTTGTGGCCTAATGGCTACATCAGCGTTTGTTGCACATGGGGCAAAAGACAATGAGGGTTGTAGCCCGTATGTAGGGCTTGCCATTGACCGTTGAAGAAGTCAGCCGAGCCCAGAAGGAGTGCCCTGCACGTTGTGCAGATCAGCAAACCACCAAGAGGGGCCTAGAGCATCTCTTTGCAGTCTGTGGCCGGCCACAGATGATTAAGAGCAATCAAAGCATCCAATTTATTGGACATGGCGTTGCAAGAATGGGTGGAGCAGTTAGGAATAAAATGGACGTGGCCTTGGACATTTCAACACATGGACCAGCAATGGCTGGCTCTTCTGGCACCTTGGGGAAAAGGCATGGAAACGCCTCCTGTGTATTCCTGGAATAACAGAAAAGTGGCCCCCCACAATCATGGTTATTTGCTTTACAGTCCTTGTGTCCTGGATGCGCCCCCTGGCTGCAGCTGTGCGTGATGGCTGAAATTGATGAGTTTTGGACTTAATCTGCATGAGACTTTGAACCTAGTTGAATCCTCTGGCTTGAGAATTACCATGATTGTGTTGCTGTTGTCAAGAAAAAAAATGATTAAAGAGAGGCTTGACTTTGTCTAATGTTTGGTAAAAGTTTGTGTGAGCAAACTAGCATGGTTGTTAGGAATGAGTAAACAAGTGTAGAAACATTTTGTGCTTAGTGAAGATTGTGCTGTAAAGTACATTTTCTTCATCTGCATAGGCTGAATCCTCTGGTTGAAGATTATAAAGATTGTATTGCTGTTGTTATTGTATGTTAGATTGGTTGGAAGAGGAGGAATGAGTACATTTTAAGCCGAGATTTCTGGAGAGGTGGGTTGTGGGAAAACTAACATTTCCAGAATATCTCACCTGGCTTTCTTAGTTCATCTGCATATCAATAGGTGTTCAGTGGTGGAAAGAAATATGGCTTTAGTTTATTTGCATATCCTTTGGGGTAAAGAGAAGTTCATCTCCATGTCAATGGGTAATTGCTGGGCAACTGAGGGCGAGTCTGAACCTGGGAGGTTAAGGGGAGGGGGGGTATTGCTGGCTTGCTGGCTTCTTTCAGAGCAGAGGAGAAAGACAGCCCTGGACTGTAGTTTGTAAGCAATAAACGGGTTTTAAACTTTATTTCTCCCTTTGACTGATTTCGGTTTTTAGAGGTATTTTTCCCCGGGATTTCCCCTCTCTGGATTTAAACCTCCTAATCCTAATTTTCAGACACCTTTATTTCTGTATAATGACCGCTCTGTAATGTAGGCCAATAAACCCTGGTTAGACATGAAAACGTAAGGTTCATGGAACTAGTATAAACTTGCAAAAAAGAATTTGCCAGGTCTTTGCACACCAAGCAGGGTCCGCTGCTTCCTCAGTGAGACAGGGACCATGAGTGTAGTCAGAGTAGGGTGAGTGCCTCCAGGAAAAGGCAGGGCATTTACAGTCAGAGCAATGTTAACAATGTGAAAAGGAGTCCCTATCAAAACTGTTGAGCATTATGCAAAGTCAAGGTCACAATAATTCTCTAGGGTAAAGATACCAGACTAGGAATATAAACATCTTCAGTGAGAACAGTTAAAATTCAAAAAGCCAGGAGCAACTAGGCCAGGAATGTTTGAGTGTTCCGCAAATAAAGGGTATCTCAGTATAACCCCGGGACTTCACTGTAAACAGCCCCAGCAAACAAGAACCCAGCCCACCTTGGGGGCAGGGCAAGTGGCACAACTCCACACCCTAATCCCTTTATCAGTTTCCAAAAAAATCCTCACCTGCCTGTAAATCCCCTAGACAATGCACTACCCTGGACTCTCATGTCCCCTCTTGGTGTGAGTCAGTTCTGTCCTCTTCACTTTTTAAATAAAAGCCTCTACACCTTGCTCTCCTACCTTGAGTGTTTGCTAAGTTCATTCTTTGGCTCCGAGAACAACCCCCGTATCAACACTAGTCAAGCTTGTTCAGAGAAAATATGTAGAAACATACACAACATATCGGCCTTGATGGAAACTGCCTAGTTCTTTGCTTGGTTAACACCAGTAATACACTGAAACCTCTGGAAGCTTGCAACTTTTGTGACGAGACCTCTTATCTCCTCAAAACTGAATTTGCTTATTATAAAGGGAAAATTTTGTGGAGAGCTTTTGGCCCAGCTCCTTCAGACATGTCTAGTGTTATGCCATTTACTTCTTTGATGTCACCTTTCTAGGATTACTTTTCTGCTGGGTCAGTCTGGGCTTCGCAGCCTTAGGCTTCCCCGCGCTATTCCGTGGTTGCTTGTTCTTGGCTCCTTTAGACTTCATGTTGCTGCAGGCTGCTTTCTGAGCTGCAGTTAACTCTAAGCCTCTCACCTCTTGGTCTTCACACTTTGTGGAGACTTAGAGTCTCTGGTTAAAACCAGCTTCTTCGCATTAGCAGGACTTTCTGAACTTGCCCTTTTCAGGCTCAGGTGTAGCCTTTTTGCTGAGTTTTAAGGAGCCAGAAGCGCCGGGGCCCTTGGTCTGCACCAAGGTGCCCTTGCTCACGAGGCTCTTGAGGCCCAGCTTGATGCGGCTGCTGTTCTTTACATCGAAGCCAGCAGCTATCAACACCTTTTTGACGGCAGCCAATGACATGCCTGCATGCTCCTGATACCAAGAGAGCCTCAATGGTCAACTTAGACAACAGAGGGACTCGAAGCCTTTCGACCTCCAATTGCAGGGCCGTCCAGCTTTTTCCCTCACTTTTTGGACAAAGGCTTCTCCATAGAAACCAGAACAGGATCACCTGGGAATCCAGATACAGTCTCAAACATACACAAGAAAAGCAGGAAGTAATAACCAGCTAGGTACCTGACATCAGGGCCTTATATGGGGCAGGGCGTGCTGTGATTGGTGAATTGCCCAAGCACCGGCCCCTTCCCTCAGGCGAGGAGCATTTGTGTTTGTTTTACCCCGTAAAGTTGAATCCCACAAAAGTCCTATGTGCAGAATTGCCCAGTTACACTGCCGAGCGATCCATGGAGACTCAGATTTCACATACCTTTTTGTATTTTAATGAAAACTAGTCCTGCCTGCCAAAATTTTTTGATAAAAGCGCTCCATTTACAGCAAAATTCAAAGCGAAGAACAAAACTTCCCTTTTTCCTTGTAAATTTAAAAGGAATTTTTAGTAGGAGACTCATCTCATTGCTTCTGAGTTGCCTTCTATGTAGTTGGCCTCCAATCGATGGAGAAAATATATTATTCATGCAATGATTTTTATTGAAAATTATTTATGAGTACGGGGAAGTAACACAGATCTCTTAGATCTCTCACTCAGAAGTCAGCAAATGGTTATAGAATTGTCTAAAAACTGCAGAGTAGGAACCTTATTTGGGTAAACACATCAGATAAACCATAATTTACAAGGCATGTGGGTTGCTTGTGACTACAGCCGCTGCACAGTCCCTGCAGCTTGCTTGATAGAAGATCACAAGGATGGAGTTAGTAACTCTCCAATCCCCACTCCCCCACCTTTCCCCACAAACATGCACACATGCAGAAACAGGTACAGTACCTGCCTTCAATCAACTAAAATGTGAGATAGGAACCCTGGCCTGAAGAGCTCATACAAACTACAGACCCAGATCTCTAACAGGACTAGGTTGGCAGGTGTGTTTGCAGAGATGCAGAAAAATAGTTACTGGGACAATGTCCAGGATGCCTCTCTGGGCTTGTCCCAGGACTCATCTTTGTGAAAGGTACTATACAAGAGTTTGCTCTTCAAGGTTGGGCCTTCCAGAAGGATGCTGAGGGAGCAACATAGTGTGGCCAGAATCCAGGGTTTAGCAGAGGAAAACCCCATAAGGATCATCTTGTGAAGATCCCCAAATGACTGTGTGAGGAATTTGGTGTTTATTCTACAGGTTGGGGAACCACTCTAAGTCTTTAAAGAGAAAGTTTGTGTGCAGTGGTAGTTGAATTGTATTGTTCTGGTTATTTAAGCTAAGCTTTAGGTTTTTCACATAAACAATCATCATTGAGAGAGGCCCAATGTTGTTTGGTAGTCTTTTGCAATAGTCTCAGAAGACGGGCTTCACCTGAGGAGACAGTGTGGTAAAGGAGTCTACATTTGAAATATTTCTGAAGCAGAAATCAAATTATGAGAATTTCAAACTTCTGATTGCAAAGTGAGGTTGAAAAGTCTCTTACCTCTGTCCCATGCAGGCAAGCTCACACACACATACATGTACACACCTGAAACAAAAATTAAGGAAACAGTACTAACCCAAATGCCAGCATTATAATATATTCTAACCTGGTCTTTCATTTTTTAAAAATACTGGTTGCAAACCATGAAATTGATTTCACAATCTACTAAGGCTCTGTGGTCCTCAGTGTGAAAAATCTTTAAGGGAGATAAACAAGTGCATCTTACTAAGGGCTCTATGTTTTAAATATATTTGGCTTCTCTGGCCCTCCATGATCCCTGAGCACTGTGCCATTAAATGTCAGTGGCTTAAGGGCTGGGTTCTGGAGTAGATTGGTCCTTATATTTATAGGTTGACAGTACATATCATTCCATTGCTTTAAAAGTAACATAGACTTAGAGAACTTTAAAAATTATTAGATCCCTAATTTAAGATCCAGAGAAAGAACGATTCATAATTTGCATTAGAAATCTATAAATAAATCAACATCATCCACCACATAAACAAAAAGAAGGACAAAAACCATGTAATCATCTTCGTAGATGCTGAATAAGCATTTGACAAAATTCAACATCCATTCATGATAAAAACCTCTCAACAAAATGTGTATAGAGGGCAAGTACCACAGCATAATAAAGGCCATATAGGAAAAACCCACAGTCAACATTATACTTAACAGCAAGAAGCTGAAAGCTTTTCCTTTAAGATTGGGAACAAGACAAAAATGCCCACTCTCCCCACTTCTATTCAACATGGTACTGGAGGTCCTATCCACAGCAATCAGACAACACAAAGAAATAAAAGGCATCCAGATTGGCAAGGAAGAAGTTAAACGGTCCCTGTTTGCAGATGACATAATATTGTATATTAAAACCCTAAAGAATCCACTCCAAAACTACTAGATCTAATATCTGAATTCAGCAAAGTTGCAGGACACAAAATTAATACACAGAAATCTGTGGCATTCCTACACACTAACAGTGAACTAGCAGAGAGAGAAATCAGGAAAACAATTCCATTCACAACTGCATCAAAAAGAATAAAATATCTAGGAATAAACCTAACCAAGGAAGTGAAACACCTATACTCTGAAAACTACAAGACACTCATGAGAGAAATTAAGGAAGATACCAATAAATGGAAACACATCCTGTGTTCATGGATAGGAAGAATTAATATTGTCAAAATGGCCATCCTGCCTAAAGCAATCTATAGATTAAATGCAATTCCTATCAAAATACCAATAGCATTCTTCAACGAACTAGAGAAAATTGTCCTAAAATTCATATGTAACCACAAAAGACCTCGAATAGCCAAAGTAATCCTGAGAAGAAAGAATAAAGCAGGGGGAATTATGCTCCCCAACTTCAAGCTGCACTACAAAGCCACAGTAATCAAGACAATTTGGTACCAGCACAAAAACAGACCCATAGACCAATGGAACAGACTAGAGAGCCCTGATATAAACCCAACCATATATGGTCAATTAATATATGATAAAGGAGTCATGGACATACAATGGGGAAATGACAGCCTCTTCAACAGCTGGTTGTTGGCAAAACTCAGCTACATGCAAGAGAATGAAACTGGATTATTGTTTAACCCCATACACAAAAGAAAACTCAAAATGGATTAAAGACTTGAATGTAAGTCATGAAATCATAACTCTTAGAAGACAACATAGGCAAACATCTCCTCAATATAAGCATGAGCAACTTCTTCCTGAACCCATCTCCTCGAGCAAGGGAAACAAAAGCAAAAATGAACTCATGGGACTACATCAAACTAAAAAAGGCTTCATATGGCAAAGAACATCATCAACAAAACACAAAGGCATCCTACAGTATGGGAGAATATATTTGTAAATGACATGTCAGACAAGGGGTTAACATCCAAAATATATAAAGAATTTACACACCTCAACACCCAAAAAGCAAATAACCTGATTAACAAATGGGCAGAAGATATGAAGAAACAATTCTCCAGAGAAGAAATTCAGATGGCCAACAGACACATGAAAAGATGCTCCCCATCACTAATCATCAGGGAAATTCAAATTAAAACCACAATGAGATATCACCTCACACCAGTAAGTATGGCCAGCAACGAAAAGACTAAGAACAGCAAATGCTAGTGAGGATGCGGAGAAAGGGGAACCCTCCTACACTGCTGGTGGGAATGTAAGCTAGTTCAACCATTGTGGAAAGCAATATGGAGGTTCCTCAAAAAACTAAAAATAGAAATACACCTGACCCCGGAATCCCACTCCTTGGAATATACCCAAAGAATACAATTTCTCAGATTCAAAAAGACATATGCACCCCATGTTTATTGCAGCACTTTTTACAATAGTCAAGATATGGAAGCAACCTAAGTGTCCTTCTGTAGATGAATGGATAAAGAAGATGTGGTACATACAAACAATGTAATACTATTCAGCCATAAGAAAGAAATAAATCCTACCATTTGCAACAACATGGATGGAGCTGGAGGGCATTTTGCTCAGTGAAATAAGCCAGGTGGAGAAAGACAAATGCCAAATGATTTCCCTCACTTGTGGAGTATAACAATGAGGCAAAACTGAAGGAACAAAATGGCAGCAGACTCAGAGACTCCAAGAAGGGACTAGTGGTTGCCAAAGGGGAGGGGTGTGGGAGGGCAGGTGAGTAGGGAGGGAGAAGGGGACTGAGGGTTATTATGTTTAGTACACATGGTGCGGGGGATCATGGGAGAACAGTGTATCACAGAGAAGGGACATAGTGGATCTCTGGAATCTTGCTGCACTGATAGACTGTGACTGCATTGGGGTATGGGTGGGGACTTGATAATATGTGTAAATGTAGTAACCACGTTGTTTTTTGATGTGAAACCTTCATTAGAGTGTATATCAATAATACCCTAATAAAAAAAAAGAAATCTATAAGTAACATAAAATACATACACATATGTATAACGCTTGCTCTGTGCCAGTCATTGTCTCAATATTTTCCCCTAAAACATTCTTTTTTTGATGTAGGGACTCACTTTATGCATGAAGAAACTGAGTCAGAGAAAAGTCACATAACTTGCCCAAGATTTTAGAGTTAGTAAGAAGGCTGGGATTTGATTCCAGGAAGTCTGTCTGTCTTCAAAAGGTTTCTGCTCCTCCTGTCTTGGGTAATCACAGATGCCATTTGTGTTGAGTCACCTTTTTTTTCCCCTCCCACTTAATATATCAGGACCATTGTTCATGTAATTACACTTCTATAATATATTTTGGGGGCACAATACTGTAATTTTACTTTTTTTAATTGTGGGAAATCCAACCTTCTGAACTTTCATTATTGAGATAATACTGCTGTGAACATTTTCTTAAATTTTCTCCAGCGTCTCTTTTAAATAGTAAAGCAATGGAAGCAATCACAAAGAAAATAGGAACTGTTCTCTTTTAAAAACATAGTATGTTTGTTCTCTGATAATGTGAAAAGTATCAATTTTCAATATTAATTCAATATTCTCATAGTTGTTTTAAAAAATGTTTACCCTATATTTCTCTCTGTCTGTATGTGCATGAATAAAATAAAGGCAGCTATAGGCTTTGACTTCCCAGCATTCCTACACTACACACTTCATAGATTTGCCTAATGTCTAAAATTTAGAACTACCTTTTAAAACTGTTATCTTCTTTTCATGTTTCTTCCTTTTTAAAAAACTATTTTTTTACTTTATATTCAGTTTTCAACCATCTTTATAGATATTATTTCACAATTAACCTTAACTCTGTTTTCAACTGATGTTTTCCTTTTTCAACTCTTAATTTTTGAATTATTTTATTTTGATTGGTTGCTTGCTCAGATATTGAACAAATATATTGTTTGTTTTGTAGAAAGGGCATATGGATGATTTAATGGTTTATAAAAGTAGTCTATCTGAGTCATCAATTGTCTGTTGAACAGCAAATGCATGTGTGATGCTGTTTCAGGGCTGAGGGCCATACAAACACCATTTTTTAAATTAAAAAACAACTATTACTTGGTCTCTAAACAAATTCCCATTTTACTTATTTGAGAGATAAGATGTAAGCATGTGCAATGATAATTATATGGTACCCAAATCAGTGTCCCCAAAAATGATCTGCCCAGGATTTCAAAATGGAGAAATCACATTGAGAGAGGGTGGCAGGCAAGATGTCCTCTCTGTTAAGTCAGATGGACCTGAATGACTTGTCCATCCTGTTTCTGCTGTTCCTTATAAACTGCACATCTTCAGAAGGAGTTCTGGAAAACTTCTCAGAAGACAAAAGAACTAAAGGGAGGTCCACCATCTATCTGGAAAACACAGGAAGTGCCTGACGTAGAAGAAAAGCTTTTTGCACATCTGGAAATCCCCTGGAGGAGCCATTCAGGTAATCTTATTTCTATTCTTCCTGATATTGCAACCTCTCTTTATATGTACTTAAAGACACATACTCATATCATGCTGTTTCTTAATTTGTGACTAACGTGTAATGCTAACATGGACTGATGTCCAAAACCTTTCCATGGACAGCTCATTGTAAGGTAACTTAAGTAATTTTCCCAAGATATGTAGATGTTTATGAGCAAGGTTTTGAAAGTTGGGAGTCACAAGCATTTGAACTTGGGGTGAATTTTCTGTTGTGCTTTAGTCCAGAGTATGGAATCATCAAAAAACAGAAAGTCTTTTTTCTTAAACTTCCCAATAATAAAGGTAGACTCAAATGACACGTTTATTTTCCCTTGCCTTACCATTTCTTCCTGTCTGGACACAGATCCAACCCCTAGGGGTGATGCAGAGGAGCATGAGGTTGAAAGCTACAGGGGGGATGGTTAGCACAGGATGATAAGAGGCACCTGCACACTTGGTGAACTCTCAGAAGTCCCAGACAAACCAGCCCAGCCTTCCTGTTAATTGGGAAAAACAAATCTCTCCCTGGCTAAGCCATTGCAGAGGGGTTTCTGTGAAATGGGGCCTAATGCTGCTATAATAGATATAGGGACATACTAATTCAGTGG